AGAAATTAATTACCAAACATGCATTAAGAAAAAAATCTCAGTACATAGAAGTTAAACAAATTTGGCTAAATCTTTTAACAACATGCGAAATATATTAAATATGCATGTGAATTTCACATAAATAGAAATTAAAGATAGAACTAATATGTAACAGATTCAAAAGACAGAATTAATATTGAATAATATGTGAAAAAAAATGATCGTGTATAAAAAAAAAAAAAGCAAATTAATATGTGTTCAGATTATACATACAAACATGAATTAGAATTAATATGTACGTTGATGAAAAGTAGAGAAGAAGAAGCAATCTCGTTATGATGCATATGTATATTGAAATATTTCACATGCTACCAAATTAATTTTGATACACGTGATAAATATTCATGCCTATAGAAATTATTACCTTCACTAAACTTTGAAAAATTAAGCTATCATGCTGATAAGATGTTATAAAAGTGAAGAAAAGAAAAGAGAATATAGAGAAGTTAACAGACTTTGTGTGTATTTTACTAAGAACCAAAGCCCTGTATTTATAGGGTAGAATCAGGGATACAAAATTAATAATTTCTAGAACTGCAGGGGTGTAATTATCATTTACCTCTAAACCTTAATAAACTTTCATTTTATAACATATTTAACAATACCATTAAATCATTAAAAGTATTAGCAACAAAATAAGGAATTCAATTAATTTAAAAATGAAATTCTTTTTATGTATTACCCACAATTTATATAGATAGTGAGCAATAATAATTATATAATTTTTTCTTTTGTACCCCAAATAAAAGATGTAATATCACCATAGTTAATTAAATCATTTATTAGCGATTTATTTTTTATTTTTTATGGTATAAAGCAATTGCATCAACGAGTATTTCTAATAATTAGAATGTATCTAAGTTGGAGATTTTGTTGTGTGTACTTGGTTTAATGTAAGTAGGGATGACATATCGACTCATGGGCTCGTGTCGCTTGTGAATCGGCCCGCAAAAGGCCAAGCCCTAGCTAGCCCGCAGGCCAGCTCCAAAAAATAAAAAAATAAATAAAAAAATAAATAAATAGGAGCTGCTTTAGGCAACGAGCCAATTGCCTTGGGAGGAAAAAAAATCGAGTCGAAAGCTCCGGTCGACCTCATTTTTATGCCGGGCTAGGCCAAAAAAAAACCATCTTCAAAAAGCTTGAGCTGAGCCTGAGCCTTGATTTTTGGCTCACAAGCTTGCTCGACTCGTTGACACTCTTAAGTGTGAGTTATACACTTGCTAAGCTCATTCACCACTAACTGTGAACATGAATTGCCTTTCGCATTGCCTCATTTGTGTAGATCCAGTTGCTAAGCGAACTAGAATATATACCAATAGAACCAATCTGGAGTTGAGTTTGAGTAGGATCCAAAACTTCATGTTTGACCGAACATTTTTTGTAGTTTCTATTTAGGTGGATCGTTTGGATACCCTCTTGCCAAGCTTTTGCTTTATAATCTGCCTTTTTGTTTACTTGACCAATAGCCACAAGTTTTAAGTGTTCTCAACACAGATTGTTTTTTCATTTATCATTTACTGTTTGAGCTTAACACATTTTAAAGTTTCATTCGTATCGGTGAATTGGCTAATACAAATATCCCTTTTAAGGATTATTACATCGTTCTGATAAAACAACTCGCAACCTTGTAATAACTCCAATAATAGGGCAAGTTAAAGGGCATTTACATCTTGTCTTCTTTGATTTGTGCAGGATTAATCTATTTGTACCAAATAGTTTACCTAATAGTTTACCGAATTGACAAGTGACGGCCCCCTATTGGAGGGGTGGTTGTGGGGACAGCCGCCCCTCCAATAGGAGGCCGCCACTTGTCAAGTCGGTAAACCATTAGGTAAATCATTTGGTACTTGTAGCATCTTCCATTTGTGCATGTGAATAGATGATGCCAAAGGCCGTATTGAAAGCATTAAACCGTTTGAAAATAGAGTAATGATATATACCATACATAATAAGATCAATAAAGTAAGGGTCCGTTTGATTGCAAAGATGGAATTGAATTGAATTGAATTGAAAATGAATTCCAGGAAATTGAATTGCTTAGAAATTATTTTTCTAGGAATTGTAAATTATTGTGTTTAATTGGTATAATTTTTCACGTGGAAAATATTGAAATAAAAGTGTCTTTTGAGGTTCATTTGACTTTGTTTATATGAAAATTGTCAATTAAAGCGTTAGATTTTACTGGTATTGGGAATGAAATTTGTTTTCATTGTAAACAAAAACAAAAATAAAAAATAATAGTAAAAATAAAAAAATAAAGAAAATTATCTATCTTTTGGTGTTAGTTTGACTTTATTTTACATGGAAATTGCCAATTAAAGAGATGAAATTTTTTACAATAATTCTTAAAATTTGTTTCAATTGCAAAATAAAAAATAAAAAAAATACGTCAAAATGTGGAATTTCAATTCCCACCATTTTGGTGAGAATTGAAATTCCACAATTTGGTGGAATTTGCTTATGTGGCAACAAAAGATGGGAAAGGAATTTCATGTCAAATTTGTGCCATCAAACACATAAAAGACGGAAAATGGAATTTATTCTCCATTTTCGATGGAAAATATAAGCCTATCAAACATGACCTAAGTTTCATATTCATATATTTAACTGACGATATTATTTCATAGCACATCACCTACCACAATGACAGATAATCATCTCTAATGAAGATAAATAGTAGTATTTTTTTTAGAATAACTACTCTCTATCTTCTAGAGTTTTTTCTTGGTATTCATGCTCGGACATTTTCTGAAAATACTCAATTGTTTAAATTTCATCTTCTTCTAATTGTTTAGGCACCAATTGGTGCTAAAATTTTGGGGCTTTTTATGATTTAGAATGATCTAGTTGAAAGATTACTAAGGTGTTTTTAGTTTTCCGAACTGGGTAAAGGAAGTCCTACATTAATTTTGTAGCATTGGATACAATGAGTTTTAGGGTTTGTTTAAGTTCCCACCAATTGAGCTTCAAAATGGATGTAGATCTCTATTACCGAATCATTATAGATTACTCTGTTTCCTTTAGTATATGTGAATTGTGTTTTGTTGGGTTTTATTTTTTAATGAGATCTTGAGTTACGATGTAATGCAAAGTTTACAATGTTAGAAGTCAAACTTTATTACCATAGTAACTCAAATCCTTCTATTGTATTTGTATTAAATGAATTTACCGATATTTCACATCTTGCAGCAAGCCTCTTGCTTCTTAATGACAGAATTTTTGTTTCTTTATACATTCGATTGCGTTGAAAAGAACATGGGGAGAGTTTTTACATTCAAAAAAAAAAATAAAAAAAAAATGAAGTGCTACATTTCGCCTTGGCTAAGATTTAATGCTATTTATGTCAATTGTTCGAAATAGTGGTGGACGATGCCCATATGGGCTGGCTTGTAAGCCTTGTTTAAAATATATTTGGGCCAGAGTATCTATGTAGGGCATGATTGCCTACGCGTTCGAATGAAATTTCATGCGTCTGTTTAAATAAAAAAAAATATTTAATAAAGAGATATAAATTAATTTTAATTACGGTGTTAGACCATTTGCGTTCATTAAAATTGATTTTTAGTATTTTCTTAAAATATTAGTGCCAATACAAATCTAGTGATAATAAGGAGCATGAACAATGACAACTATAACCATTTTGATTTCCCTCTCAGAAAAGAAATGATATCGTTACCTAGTATGATATTATTGAAAGTCCATATAGATCACATTGAAAGCATCAAACTAATGTAATTACCTATTAATGGAAGAATTTTATGTAGTCATCAATGGCTAGGCCTCGAGTGGAATTATTGTTTAATTAATACAAAATAATTTAACAATTTTCATTAATGTTTGTTGAAAAAGAATGTTTCCATGCAATCAGCGAAACTATAAATCACAAAATTAATTAGATTTAGTAATGACACAAGATACAATTAATATTTATGTAAAGATATGACTGAGTTCAATATGAAGTAGAAAGAACCAACACACATATGTATACATAATATATGTATACAGATATGCGTATATACATACATACATATATGTGTGTGTGTATGTGTATACACACACACATATACATGTATACATATGTAATAAACACATATGTATATATACATATGTCTACATGTATGTGTGTGTGTGTGTGTGTATACGCACATATGTATACATACATGTACGTATGTATGTATACATATGTACGTATATACATACATACATATAAGTGTGTGTATATATATTTGTTCCCAAATCTATTTTACTGCACATTAGGTATATTTTTACGGAATAAGATTAATAAAGAAAGATATGTACAATATAATTTTCTTCTTGTCTTTTTATTCACGTGAAATTAAGCTTTACTAATTTAATGAATGGTATGCAATACATGAAGTTGCTAAGCAAAATAAAGAGAAAAATGAAATGAAATCGTGGCCTTTTAAACTTAGGTAATTTGTAGCAAATATCTTATTTTAAATCATCCCAAAATGTATAAGTTTTTATATAACTTTGAAGTTTTAAGTTTTAAATGATTCATTAAAACAAATTGATTATTTACCTACTTATAATTAACTAACATCCCAATTCTAGAAACAAAAGATTCAAGAAAACATTGATTAATTCAAGGTAAATAGAGGCATTTAGATAGATTTTTTTTTTTTAAACATATTTTCAACATTTCACAATTTTTAAGCTAATCATTGAATGTTATTCGAAAAAAAATCTTCTCACCAATTTAGAATTAATTATGGATTTTTTCTTTGTCAATTTATTTTAGTAGACATGTAGTCTTGAGCAACATCTGACGATTTGATGACAATTTGGACAGGCAATTGTCGGATCATAAGTTGAAGATGGTAATTGATTGAGTACCAATAATGCAAATTTCTGAAATTTATATTTCTCAGTGGGCCCTTCTGTTTTGTGCTATATAAACTCCCAACACCGATCACTTCCTTTCTCGTGTGATTTATAGTGACTTAGTGCTTACAGCATACATTCATCGTTTCTTCGACAATCAATCGGCACATTTCACATCCAAATTTCGTAAGAAGTTCTGTTTTTATTTTACTTTATTTATTTATTTATAGAAGCAGGACTTTATGTAAGAGCTCCTTGGTTCTTGTTTATTCTCTGCTTTGCAGATTTTTGAGAATTGGTGACCCATTTCTCGTTGGATGGATATATGGTAACACTTTACTTTTCAGCTCATATTTTCTTACTTGGAACTTTAAATCTGATTTGTTTGAAGGTCTACTTTGAAAATTATGAGTATCTCTTGTATGGGTTTTTGGAGATTTGTTTCTTGTTTTTGAGAAATTTTCCATTTTGTACGACGAACTTTAGCTTCTTTCAATAAGATAAACAATTTACACAATAGTCATGTGCCTATGATAACTTCGTTCGAGAAAGTTCACATTTTGATTTGGATTTTTGAACTTTCTTTCTCAGAATGCATCTGTATAATATTTCTGAATGTTTGCTCAAGATTTTGGAAAGTGAAGATAATGCCTAAACAGTGACAATGGATTAATGTGTTTAATAAATAATTTCGTATTATTTTTTTTCTTTCTCTGAATACAGCATAGAGGGAAACTATAATTCTGATTTTGGAAAGGAAGAATAAACGAAGAAGATTTATTGGCTTTTGGGTGGTGTTTGCTACAAGATTGATGCCACCATTTTCAATGCGAAGGCCAGCATTGCAGTACTTTTTAAAGATTCATAACCTGTAAGTTTTGTAGAACTCACTGGGGAATCGACTGAAACTGAGCGTATTTTTGGTATATGTGATATTGGAATGTTTTGATAAGATAGCACATTGTGGGGAAAACAGGATTTTTGAAAGGAGCTCTGATGTCATCTTTTAGAAGAACTTTATCTCCAGTGCCTCGATCAGGAACTTTATTGAATGGGGAAGCATGTCAGCTTGCATCTCCTTTGTCCAAGTCATCTTCAAACAGTCAGAATTACCCACTGTTGCCGCCTTCCAGGGCTTCTTTGGACTATGCATGGTACAAAGCCCAACATTTTGTACTTGGCCTTTTCTCATCACAATCTTCTCGGCCCTTAGATAGGTCAAAGCTAAAGGGACAAATTTGGCGAAGAGTTTTTTTACATTTCTTTTTATGTTTTGTTATTGGGATTTTTGTTGGTCTTTCTCCGTTTATTTCACTGAATCTATCCATCAATGTTATGTCGAAATACCAAGATATCTACGTCGGGGTGCTCCAACCAGTAGCAAACAGTCAGGGTTACGCCGGTCACGTAAATGAGACGTCGGCTGTGGTAGTTGACAGATTGTCCGTAATTGAAAATTCAACGTTAGAGCAGCAAGGGGTGAATGTTGAACCAATAGATGGAATTTTTAATGACACCTGTCAAGGTTCAAATTTGGGGCACCATAAGCTTTTGATCATTGTGACACCAACATATGCTCGGCCGCTTCAGGCATATTATATGAATCGTCTGGCAAACACATTAAAACTGATCCAGCGTCCTTCTCTGTGGATTGTGGTGGAGATGAAGTCTCCATCTGTGGAAATAGCAAACTTGTTGGGGAAAACAGGTGTCTTGTACAGGCATCTAGTATGTGATAATAACTCAATTGACAAAAATGAAAGAGCTGTGCACCTTAGGAACGTGGCTCTCTCACACATTGAAACTCACCGTCTCAATGGAATTGTTTACTTTGCAGATGATGATAACATATACTCCAATGGTCTCTTTAACCAAATGAGACAAATCAGGTACTTCTTTTTTCAGTTTCCTTGAACAATCTAGACTCTAAATTTCTCTGTAATATTGTCTGGTTCTAATTTAATTCATTGGCACATTGAGACTTGCAGATCCTTGTACAAGATATATTCATTTGGTTGTTAATTTGTAAAAAGAGTGTCAAGGTCCGTCAGAATGCTTTCTTAACGATATTAGGCCTCTGTATGGCCCTCATTTTCAAAAATCATTTTTTCCTCAAACTCATTTTCGACTACATATTTCATGGTATCTATAGTTTTTTTTATCAATTTTTCAATCATACATTTCATCAGCTTCTATCAAAATCTACTAAAAATTTGAATTTTAGCTTAACCAAACGGGGGCAATTTGCATGTTTTAATATGAAGAATTATAGATGACTATTATGAAGTGTTGCATGTTTTGATATGAAGAATTATAGATGACTATTATGAAGTGAACAAATTTCTTATGCACTTGTACCACGCATGCATGTTTGGTGTGACTATCTAGTTCTCCGTAATCTTTATTTGTATGCTTAGTTTTAAGGTAACTGTATTATATTTTATTGCAGATTATAAGTTAAATTTATTGGAGTTGTTTGAAGATTATAGAAGAAAACGAGGACAAACATACAACTCTAAATACTGATATTATGGTTAGAATAAAATAAAAAGGTGGACGAAACAGGACTCTTTCAGATCAAGCTTCATAAGATTATATCTTTGATCAACTCATATTTTTATGCAATGGTGAAAACAAAATGTAGTTGTGCATGTTGAACACGTGTTATGAAAATATAAAGCATGCTTCCAGAGTCGAGTTGTATATGCAGTATATATTTTCTACAAACTTGTGGAAGCGTTATCATGTAACATCTTGTTTAAAACTTATTTTGTTTTCTTTGAACTGTATAGATTACTTAAGGTTAACAAATCATTCTGGCTGTAGTTTTACTTTTCTGGAGTTCATTTCTACCATCGTAACTCTGGATTATAGAAGCCTTATGTTTAAAATTTATTTTCTATCTATAGTCTGTTGGGAATATTGCGAAGAAACTTCATGCCAATCTGTATTGGAGTTTCGGGTTTATGTTCTTGACGATAGGCAATCTGCATTTGGGACTGAATTTACTGGAGGAGCTTTAAGCATGGTGCTATTGGTTGCTGGGTTGTAGACATATTGAACAAAGATCTTTTCATGCACATCCTTTTTTATTATGAACCATAATGGGTTGGTTCCTCGTGCAAGCACCTTTTCATGAATATAGGTTTCATAGAAAGCGAAAAGCAACATTGAAAAAGTACATCCACTCCATTTATTAAGGTTCTTTGTTGTGTATGCAAATGGATTTTTTATTTTTTATTATTTTTAATTTACTGTAAATGGGGTAAACCTTGAAAGTGACTCTGAGTCAAATCTTGCCAATGAGTCTAACGTTTAATCCATGCACTCTGGCCGAACAGATCAGCCTCAAAGTGATTATTCTTGTCCGTGGTATTCATCTTGGAGTTACAGAATTGATTATTATTGTCCTTGGTGCCTCGTTTATCGAAAATTAGAAGGTAATTTTCTAAATGCAGGCAGTTCGGAACCTGGGTAGTGGCCAAGTTAGTGGAAACAGGAAGACATACTGAATTCGAGGGTCCAATTTGTAATGGCTCTGAAGTGAGAGGATGGCACACGAATGATATGACGAAAAGGTTTCGTAGATTCCATGCTGAGATGTCTGGTTTTGCTTTTAATAGTACTATTATTTGGGACCCAAAGAGATGGCACCGGCCTACTCTTGAACCAATCCGGCAACTTGATACAGTCGAAGAAGGTTTCCAAGTGAGTCTCTTGGTACCACTTTGATCACACTTAAGTTTAACAGAATATGGGCAAATTTGTTCTGATATCATCTTTTGCATTTTAGGCAAGCACATTTATCGAGCAAATTGTGGAAGACGAAAGCCAAATGGAATGCTTTCCTTCAGACACCAATAAAATTATGGTCTGGCAACGTAATGTGGACTTGTATACCCGTCCTCANTTCTCATTCATTTTTACTTGAATGCCTGGATCTAAAATCTTAGGCTATATATATACACACAGAAACTATCAAGGATAAAAAAATGTTGAGAGAGAGAGAGAGAGAGAGAGAGAGAGAGGTTTTTTCAAAGACAAAAAAAAATGGTAAGAGAAAGCGGCTGATTTATGGCAACTTTGAATGGGGAAAGCATTGACCTCCAAGTTTTGGTGCCTTCGTACAGTTTAATATTATTAAAAAAAGGTTGAACCCCAACTTTAAGGGTCCCCCACCGACCCTGTCCTGGAGTATCGTGAGGGAGGTAAATCGCAAGTTATGTCTCCAAGAGTACAAGGTGGAAGGCTGCTTGTACACTTACACTTACCCAAGAACCAAATCCATATTTTAGGATTCGAACCCTTGATGCGGCAGCCTCAAGCAAAGTTGGATTTTTCCACCATCCCCTTTTACTACTTGGAGATGTGCCCTGGGGGCAGAATATATGATTTCTTTGTTCTACAGATACTTGTGTAAGCAAAGAATTGAGTGGAAGTTACTTCGTTCCTTCCTCTTTTTCCATTTTTACTCCGCTATGCAAGATCACCTTTGTTGGTGAAATTTCAAGAATAGAAAGTGGAGTTACCAAATGTATAGGATAATAACGAAATAGGACAGACTGAAGCATGGATATCTCGATCTCTTGAAGGGATTCAAGCTCCCTGCAGTTGACAAAGCCTAAAACACAGTACAATAAAATTTCTCTATAATTTGTCCCCTCCAGAATACAATGATTTGATTGTTCGTCATATAGCTCAAACAAACTTTGCACAAATAGTTGGATCCAAAGGTCCACTAAAAGAAAACCATTCTATGGTCAATAATCTCTTAAAGAAAATGAGTGAGAATGTAAGAAGAGAAGATGAGAGAATTGTAATTGTTGTATTGGTGATGAATGATCAAGGAATAGTTTGATTTATAAGTAAAAACAGATCACCCAAATAAAGAGGTGTCAAAATCATATGAACCTTTTTACATTTCATTTTCCAAACCTCCAACCTCTTCACTTTCCTAACTTTCAAAACCTTATGGGAAAAAAAAAAAAGAAACTTTCAAAACCTACAAACCTATTAAGAGAAAATGCAATGAATGAATTAAATATTAAAGAATTAAGCTACTCGGACAGGTTCAATGACCAATGGTTTTGATGAGGTTTTAAAAAACCTGACCTGGCAAAGAAATTGGAGGGAAAACTAAGAGGAAGGAAAAAGCAGCACGTGATGGACTCGTGTGTTGTGAAGAAACATAAATAGAAATCACCTTAATTGGAAATTACGTCTCCCAATTGAAAAAAGGGTAAATAAATTTCCCTAAATTGAAAACTTGAAATCCCGACGAAAATTAAGCTGCCCGGTGGCACTCCGGCCAAGATTTTGGTTGTTGCAAAGACGATCGTTGAACCATTATTTCATCATTCGCCATCTCTGTTCACATTTAACGTTTTTGAACACGGACTTTAACGCTCCATCCAAGTTATTTCCTCCTCCTCCATCTCGCTCCCCATTTTTGTAAGTTTCTTTGTTCGAGTTTTTGAATTTTGAAAAGACATTTGTAAATTTATAGCCCTTGATGCTTTTGACTGAGGTGTTTATGTCTTGAAGTAATGATGCCATTGTGTTTCAAAGAGATTATACATAAACACGACTATTTCGTGATTCGTGAAATGGTGATAGCTAGCTTCATGAAAATTACAATGCTGTCAAAATTTGGTTCCAAATTAACGTAGTATTCAGATTATTTGTCCAACTGAACTATTGGAGCTATTTCTCTCCTTGATTAATTGCCAGTTAAAAAAGTGTGAATTGCAAGTTCTTATCTTTGATATTTGCTAATTTTTGAAATTACCTTCTCTATATTTGAATTATTGGATGACATAATCATACACTAATTTGCAAATTAATCCAGTTCAGATCCATTGCATCAGTAATAAATTGTCAAAGATGATAACTAATGCTGTTGTTATTACTTTAAATCATATCTGTTGTTATTGTATATTCTTATGCTATTGGATTGATTCTCAATATCATAGATTAAACAGTATTTTCTCCATATTGGTAAAGAGAATAGTCACTTTATAACTATGAATTAAATGTACTTTTTTTTTCTACTTTTACAGGTTTACGAATCTGCTCGTTTTAGCATAATAATGGCTGGGTTGAAGGAGATCCCTTGTGAAGTCTTGCCTCTTGGGAAGTTTGCTGAAGAAAGTGAAAGGATAGCTCGTTCAAGGATGCAGCCAAATGATCACTTGTATAGCCTTTTACTAATTTTTTGAGACATGCAAATGTTGTTCCTGTTTTTTGTACTTACAATTTAACCAAATATAAATTTATCTCAGACAATGCTTAAGAAATTGCATGTGGTCCTTCAATGATGGATTTTGTTATTTCAATTTCATATGGCTTCCTGTGACACATTGAATCAACAATTACAGTTTAATTATTTCAGTTTCATATGGCAACCTGTGACATAGTGCTTGTGGTCTGCAAGAATTACGATGTTAAATTTGGGTTCATCACTGTGAAACTGATGATATGAACATAAGTTCAAGTAAGTGAAAATGTAAACCAGTAATATATACTACATGAAATGAAAATAACTACATGCCGAAGTAACTGCACAACTAATAAACTAATATAAACATTCACATGAACGAGTAAGAAATTTGCAAACGAGACATGGCATTACAAATGTGGCCTGCAAAATGGTCCACAAACCCGTCATTCAATTAGTTTACATAGAGTCACTCATAATAATGCTACGTTGCCAAAATTTATGTCACAACTCGAGAGCTAAGGTTTATCTAATAATTAGATCGATCCCTTCCCTTTTGCATTCACTTCCACACTACCATTTGCCTTGCATATTGTCACGTTCACCAAAATCTGTAGGTCTTCTTCATCGATGAGGCGAACTCAAGATTGGAATGCGTGTGACATTTCTTCAACAGTGTCATTTCGTTACATGGTAAACTGAAGAAGAGTTATCGCAAGAGGATTGACTACTTGATTGATTTTTCACAACCCATTCCCAAAATCCACATTTCTTGCTACAACAAAGAAATAAACGTCCTTTATTGATCATCTACTTCTTCACTACAAAACACTTCTCGAATCCATGCTTGCAATTTGGGCATCGACGTTTCCATGGGCAGACGACGAAGAAGTGACCCTTAGATCTACAGCTATGATGATTTCATTATTCTTTCCTCCCATTCTATAATGAAAATAAACCACAGTTTACAATTAACTCAAAGAGATGCAATTGTAGTAATGTTGGAACTTGACATCAACTTTATCCAAAGAATAGGATTTTTACACCACAAATTTAACCATTTTGGCTACAAGATAATGTTTCTCCCTCTAAACATAATTGAATCTAACAATCATTTTTTAGCTAAGTGAAAAGGGTTAGCTCCATGACCAATGTAGCAGAAAAATGAAAAAAAATAAAATAAAATAAACATGAGCTTTCAGTGTCAACATATTCGGACTGATGAATGCATAACAACCATTTTCAGTTTCAGACTACTTATAACACTGGCAAAAATTAAAGAATTGGGGGGGGGGGGGTGAATTCACTACATGCCTTTGTCTAGCAACCAACTCCCAAATGGCATAAGGAAGAGAGATAATTGTCGTTTGATTTCACTGGCGGCCGGAGATGGTCAAGCGTGACCGGTGAAACTTGGATGGAAGTGCTCCTGGAGTGGCGATAACCTTCATCCCAAGTGCGGTTGGAAGTAGTGAAGTGGGAGGTAGCCAAACCTTTGACGGAAGTGTTGCCGGAGCGCCGACGGTACCGTCCTTTGAAGTGTGGCCGGAGATGGTGAGGATGGAGAGCGTTTCTGTTTCTGTGTTTCAATTTGGGGAGAAAAATCACCCAACCATTGTGTGGGTAGGTGTGCGTTTGGGATTTTAATTGTTAATTCTTAATTTAAAAAAAAAAAATTGGTTATTTGCCATGTCAGTTGGGAAGTAATCCCTGTCCATAGTTTCTGTTTGTGTAGCTGGATCGTTTTATGCATCAACATTCCCCCACTCATTTTAATATAAAATAGACAGAAAAATTACCAAGCAAATAGGGATTATTATGCATCATGAAGTTGTGCTCTATATTAAACCTTCACTTAGTGAAAGAAAACCTTTACATCAGAAACAATAGTGTGCTCAGCATTGAACTATGACTATTCACGCTAATCCTAATTTTATAAGTGTATTGAGAATAAGTCCAATTCTCATGGGGGGCTACTCCACCTCCACACTCACATTGGTGAAATCTATCAAGATTGCTCCTATAATACTTGCACCTGACACATAAGAGCTCTATAGATCTCATTAAGAATTCTTTTTTAAGAAAACTCAACTCCCAAAAGCATTACAGGAAAATGTATTCATATCATAGGGACGATAATAATAAGATAAATAAAATAGATAGTGCATTTCTTACGACCACCATATGAATTGTTTTTCCCATTGAAACCAATTCTCAAGATCTCAAGTCCCTGGTTGGTTATACATGGTTCTTTTTTATATAGGTTTAATCCCATCCCTCTCGATGTGCTTTTGACATTTCTTTTGACAATGTATTTGTTCACGAAAATAATATATTTCGATCTAAACTCGCAAATATACAGTTCGCGACAAGTAACAAAGTGGAAAATTTGAGTCCGAATGTTGTCCCACATAAATTGAGTAGTTTAATTCTATCTAACTCCGCCTTAACCAAAACCAAATCATCAAACAAGAATTATAATAACTTGAATTAACCCTAGTTTAACCTAACATGCAAATATGTATTATTCAAATGAACTAAAGTGCAAACTGACACTTAGATGAACTTAAAATGCAAATTGAATGTTTGGAATGCAATTTGACAAATTCAATGAATGTATAACGCACTAGGATCATGAATCTTCAAGTAATGCTCAATTTAACCCTAATTCTATAAATTTGACAACTCGTTGAAATTATAAAGAATCAGTGCTC